GAATAGATCAAGATGCCTAGCCTGCCGCTTGAAGATGAAAAATGGAACTCCTCAACGCTAACAGATTTCCTGCAGGCTTTAAATCAGATGAAGAAATCCCTGCTGGGCAAACATCTGTGTGATGTTTGTTCAATTTTCAAGTGGAAACCTGGAATACAGAGAGGCCTTGAATTGGGCCTATGCAACAGAGCTGGAATAGTTATAAAGAAGCTTTGGCTTGTTTATGTTTACATGGACTAATCATTGTGTTTTGTGCTGAGTTTTAAAATGATTGTGATCACCCTGGGATCATCTTAACAGTAAAGGGGGGGAATGGAACATTTAATTGATTAATAAATTTATTTGGTGACAGGGGGATGCTAATAGGCAAACTAATATCTCCCATCTCCAAACTTGTATTTGCATTTAACACAACTTATATTGCAAATAAGACTTTATAAAAACACTATCTCTCATCTATCTATCTATCTATCTATCTATCTATCTATCTATCTATCTATCTATCTATCTATCCATCTATCTATCTATCTATCTATCTATCCATCCATCCATCCATCCATCCATCCATCCATCCATCCATCTCCCTCCCTGGTGACAATTCTGGGTGGTGAACAAAAAGACATAAAGCACAAAAGCTATATACAAATACCGTGTTTCTCAGAAAATAAGACCGAGCCTTATTTTTTTTTTTAGACTTGAAAATAAGCACTTGGACTTATTTTCAAGATGGTCTTGCTTTTTTCTGAGGTGCAGCAGGCCAGACTCAGTGAGCTGAGCACCATGGACGCAACGTCGCCTCCTGTTGTGGTCCGCCAGCAGCTCGCAGAGCTAGCGCGGAGTTGGACAGTGAGGAGGCTTGGGCCAATCCTGGAGTCTGGGAAAGGCCTGGATGAGGGCTCTGCATCGGAGGCAGAGATGGTGCCAGGGCCATCTGGGAGTGATGTGTGGACTCCAGAGCCTCCAGAGTCGGACAGCAGAAAGGCAGAGGAGCAGAAGGAGCCTGTTCCTAGTGCACACATGCGCAGAGCTGCCAGAGGCAAGAGCAGCTAAACCAAAAGGATGACTTGGGAGTAAGGCCAGGAGATGATTGCCCCCTCCCATAAAGCTTAAAAGAGCAGCAAAGGCTCTTGGGCTCTTTGTAGGAAAACAACGTTGCTACATTTGTTTCTTGTCGGAGTCTCATTTCTGAACTTTGTGGGGCTTTGCCAAGAAAAGCTTTTGGCAGGGTGCCAAAGAAGATAAAGGTTTGTGATAAGCCCGAAGGACTTTTTCTGAAGGACTTATTTTGGAATTAATTTGGACTAAGCTGGGAATGAAGTAATTCTCAGCTGCTTTAATAAAATAGTTTTGTTTGTGACTAATTGTGTCCTGTAATGACTAAGTGAGCCTAGGTCACAACACCTCCATTCCGAATCTTCAGTGTTCGGAATGGAGGCTTTTTGGAGAATGGGAGGAAAATGGGGAGGAGGATTTTCCTGCCTGTCATCCTTCCCTCAGTCTATGCTGAGCTTGAGAATGGATGACAGGCAGGAAAATTCCCCTCCCCCATTTTCCTCCTATTTGCCAAAAAGCCTCCCACGAGCCTCCCAAAAAGAGGGAAAAAAGCAAAGCAGCTGGCCACAGAGCTGCCAGCTTCAGGGAAGCAACCCAACAAGCAGAAGCGCTGTGCCTAGAAAGAGAAGGGCAAAAGCGGTATTTGCGCTGCCCCAAGGGACCAGCGGGCTGCAGATGGTCCCTTGCCCATGCCCATGCCGCCATTCATATTGGCCATGCCCATTCCCCCGGGCTTATTTTCAGGGTAGGGGTAATATTAGGCTGACCCCCAAAAATTAGGGTTGGGCTTACTATTGGGGTGAGTCATGTTTTCAGAGAAACACGGTATACTATAGGGTATTGGTATCATGTTATAGGGTCTCTTTCAGCTGTATTCTGATTGGTTGATTGATTGATGATTGATTGATAGATTGATAAAGAGCTTCATATTCAGTGCAGTTCATACATAGCTGACTATTCAGGATTGTCAGGTTAGACTATTGCCAGTGTCACAGATCAATATTTGTTCTAGTATTTTTTTCTTTCTTCAATATTTTTTCTGGTCACTGGTTACCCTAAGATGACATTTTAAAACAAGCAGCTTCTTGTAAAACAATTTTTTTACAAGTTTGAAAGCAAAAAGCTATAGGTCTGTGATGGCAAACCTATGACACACGTACCAGAGGTGGCACGCAGCATCCTCTCTGTGGGCACGCGAGCTGTTGCCCCAGTTCAGGTCTGCCGTGCATGTCCGCGCACCTCCTGCTAGACAGCTTGTCTTTGGGTCTCTGCCGTACTTGCATGTGGGGCGTGGGGCATGCGGGGGGAACGCGCGCATGCGTGGGGGTATAGCGCATGCAGGGTGCATGTGCACATGCACGGGGCCATATGCAGGGCTGTGTGCATGTGTGCACATGCGGGGGCACACATGGGGCATGGCGCATATGCACGGCCTGTGCGTGCAATGTATTTTGGGGGTTCGGGCGCACTTTGGGAACTCGGTCCAGAAAAGGTCAGCCATCACTGCTATAGGTACTCTGTAAATATAATAAACTTCAGAAACAAAAACAGACATACCAATGTAAGGTTTTACAATGAAATGGGATAAAATGGCTAGTTATTCAAAAGGTTAGAGGTTAAATATGCTCATATGATAACAGCACTACCCTATCCTATTTTTTTCCATGTATATATTATATAAGGTCATCATGTGATTTCTATCCACACTAGTAAAAGCCCAACTTAATTTGTATAACATGCTTTCAGAAGATTGTGGTTACTCTAACCATTTAGTCATGTCTGACTTCGCGACTTTATAAGCAAGTGCTCTCCATGCTACCATGTCAAACACAGCTTCTTTCAATTGTTGGATGTAACAGCTTTGATGGTATCAAGCCAGTGAGTTCTTTGCTTGCCCTTTCTTCTTGATCCACTAACATCATTGCCTCCTCCAATGATTAGCAGGCATGACATGGCCAAGGTAAATCAAAGTAGCTTTCATAAGATACCTAAGATTTTTAATCATTAACTTTCCTTTTTTGCAGCATTGGCTTTATTAGCTTTGTCTTTTTTTTTTTAATCTCCTGCTAGAGAGACTCAATTTATCAGATCAGCCCCTTTATTTTTTTTCTGGCATCCAAACTTCTTTGAATACAAGCTCAGTGATGTGAATTGTCAAAGAAACAGAAGGAGCTCTCAGTTAAGTGAAATTAAGGCTGCCAATTTAGAATGTATGGAATTTAGCACTAAACTTGAGTCATCAGTAGAGGTCCTTTGAGTACTTTATCAATTTTTCTTCTTCTTAGAAAAAATGTCACAAGTCTTGGAGAAGCAAAGTTAGACATTTCTCCCCCAATTTGCAGTAAAAGAATGTTACCACTGCATTACTACAGAGACAGATTTGAATTCTGTTCTATGCTCACTTTATCTTTCTTACAACATCCATTACTTGTTATATCTTACAATATCCGCTAAAGATATTGGGATTGCCATTCCCCAAATTAATACAAGGTACCTGATTGGTTTAGTCTGCAGTCTAAAGAAGTCAACCTTGGCAACTTTAAGAGGTGTGGACTTCATGGGGAATTGTGAGAATCAAAGTCCATACTTCTTAATGTTGCCAAGGTTGAGAAACATTGACATCAAGCAACTTGACAACTCCCACATGATCTAGTTTGGTGCCATACTTATTCGAAAGGTGATATCATTCTACATAAACTTGACATGTGCATGCAAGTCTACAAAGCTACATGTATAGTGTAGCTATTTTGCAAAAAAGTGAGGAGGCTTTAGTTAAAACATAACCTTAAAATGGACATCTGAATGTTCTTCACTTTTGTCTTTTAATGGACACAATAAAAGATCCAGAATATTTCCTGTCCCATTCAGCAAAATACCATAGACAGAATATAATCCATACTGCTTCAGGCATATGGATAGGAGAGGTTGCTTCTCCCTCACCTTTGTCCCCAGTGGAAAAATTGACAAGTCATATATGCAGTGCATTCTTACGTTGCTGTACTTCTACACTAAAACCAAATCCTGAAGTAGTTGGAATGTAACAAGCTAAATGCTGCTACTAAGAAAGTGCTAACCTAGCTGATTATAGAAACGTTAGACATAATATTCTAAGCTTCTATAACTATGACAAATCTGAGGTATCAAATCTTCAAATCCTTTCTTTTCTAATCAGTTATTATGAAATGAATGTATGTGTATATTATATGTAATGGCTTAGATTGAGACTAAATTAGTCATGCTTTAGCTTTACTGAAATAGCTTCCATCTGGAAGATGGAAAACACTGCAATACAGTGAAGGATATACAAATTTCATAACTCGCAAATAGAACTATGGATGATTTCTGCTACTTAAAAAGTTGATACTGATTTCAACCATCTGAATGGAATGAGATTATTTTAGTAAGGATTTAGTTTCATTGAGAACAATCAACCATGCTTAATTTAAGGCCTATTGTTCTTTAGGGCTATGGTGGTAGGAATGGATGTGAAAAAGGAAAAGCAGCAAAAATTTCCTTAATGCAAAACCACAAAATATTAAGATATTACTTTAAATTCATAGATTGAATAACTATGTAAAATAATGTAGACACATCTTTTATTATTAATAAGACAGGAGCGAGTATGTGAATGTGTATTAAACAGTATTTTAAAAAAAGTTTGTTTCTTATAAAATGTATTTATTTGGAAACTATCTTGTACCTAAACATGACAAGCAAAATTCTATCAGAATCTCTCCTTTGTTCCTCTGAACAATTTAAATGCTGCAAAGGAATGAAAGAGAAATGAGTCTGTTTTCCATCACTTTAATTCCACAATTCCTTTTTAAAAGAAGAAATGCATCTTGGTGCCATTATACTCTGTCCCTGCATTTAAGAAATGCTTTGTGGTCAGGCTTGTGAAAGGCTTATTGGACTGAAGGATATAATTTGCTTTTCTGCCTTCCTAGGCAATACCCAAGAAGAGTTGAACTTCTGATGAAGAATAGCTCTGCCAAGCACTGAATATTACCCAATAAGAGACAAAATGCTAAAAACAACTCTACCACCACCTTGTCTCCAACCTCAGTCCAACCATCCAGGCCCCAGCAGAGTTGACCCAAATCCTCACATTATTAAAAACTCCAAGGCTGACCCTGCAGAAGGCAAAAGCTATTTGGCAAGGCTGCAAGGAACGGGAAATGATAGTAGCCATGGAGAGCAGGAAAAGAAAGAGTCAGCCAGAGAAAACCTCCAGAAGGAACCTTGGAGAGCCAATGGGAATGTCCTCCCCCACAAAAGCAATGACAACAGGCTGTTGTCCAATGAGAAAGGAGACTCTCTGTGGCCTGTTTCTGATGGGATGGATTCTGGGATTAACAGGAACGATCAAAATCAAGAATGGAAAGTGGTGAAAGTGAAACGAGTTCTGCTTTCTCCAGCTGATGAACCTAAGAAAGCGAGTAAGTATGATCTCACTTTTTAATCATCTAATCCTGCTTCAGCTTTAAGAAGAGAGATAAGATAAACATTTGCTGATCAGTAATCAGTAAAAGTGCAGCCTAAAGAGGCAAGGATATTAGAGGCAGGTCTAAGATACGTAGCCCTTTTTTCTCTCCATCCATGCATGCATTCTTGGCAAGTGCTAAGAAAAAAAATGGCCTTCAGTTCCATTGGAGTCAATGAGACTTTCTTGAACCTATCTGCAAAGATGGTGTGGCAGACAAATTAAGCTGATCCCCTTCAGTATCATTTTCTAGCATTAACTAATCATTACCAAACATTTGCCACTAATTTGTAAGTTCTTGCCACTTTCAATGCAGCTTCAAATCGAAAGGACTCTCCTTTCTCAGGGAGAAGGCAAGTATTGGCTTGCTTGGACTTTAATAGGTTAAATAACAATTAAAATAATAAGTAGTAACTGTGAGAGGGATCTTGGAGTCCTAGTAGACAATCATTTAAATATGAGCCAGCAGTGTGCTACAGCTGCCAAAAAAGCCAACACAGTTCTAGGCTGCATAAACAGAGGGGATAGAATCAAGATCATGTGAAGTGTTAATACGACTTTATAATGCCTTGGTAAGGCCACACTTGGTCGCCATGATGTAAAAAAGTTGTTGAGACTCTAGAAAGAGTGCAGAGAAGAGCAACAAAGATGATTAGGGGATTGGAAACATATGAAGAACAGTTGCAGGAACTGGGTATGTCTAGTTTTTTTTCTTTTTTAAATTAAATTTATATACCGCCCTACTCCCGAAGGACTCAGGGCGGTGAACAGCCAAAAGATAAAATACATACAGTACAAACGTTAAAAAACCAATTAAAATACATTAAATACTTTGGCCCAAAACAAATTTAAAACGCCCCAATTTATAAAACAAATTTAAAAGCAATTAAAAGGAAAGTTAGGCCAGACCAGCCTGCTGGAATAAGAATGTTTTGAGGGCACGGCGGAAAGTGCGCAAATCCGGGATCCTCCGTATCTCCGGGGGGAGCTTGTTCCAGATGGCAGGTGCCCCCACAGAGAAGGCTCTCCCTCTGGGGGCCGCCAGTCGACATTGTTTGACCAACGGCACCCTGAGAAGACCCTCTCTATGGGAGCGTACTGGTCAGTGAAAGGCTACTGGTGGCAGAAGGCGGTCTCATAAGTACCCCGGTCCTAAGCCATGGAACGCTCTAAAGGTGGTAACCAAAACCTTGAAGTGCACCCGGAAGACCACCGGGAGCCAGTGCAGCTCGCACAGGAGGGAAGTCACACAGGAGCGCCATGTCGCTCCCATAACCACCCGCGGGGCCGCATTCTGGACCAGTTGGAGCTGGGTGCTCCTCAAGGGGAGCCCCATGTAGAGAGCATTACAGTAGTCCAGGTGGGAAGTGACGGGGGCATGAGTGACCGTACATAACGAGTCCCGATCCAGAAAGGGACGCAACTGGCGAATCAGGTGAACCTGATAAAAAGTCCTCCCAGCCACAGCCGTCAAATGCTCTTCTAAAGACAGCCGTGAGTCCAGGAGGACATCCAAGTTGCGAGCCCTCTCCATGGGGGCCAACGATTCACCCCCAATAGTCAGTGATGGCACCAACTGACTATATCGGGACGTTGGAAACCACAGCCACTCGGTCTTGGATGGGTTGAGCCTGAGTCTGTTTCTCCCCATTCAGATCCGTACAGCCTCCAGGCACCGGGACATCACTTCAAGGGCATCATTGGGGTGATCCCAGGTGGAGATGTACAGCTGAGTGTCAATAGCGTACTGATGGTACGCTCTCACCCCGAAACCACGGATGATCTCACCCAGCGGCTTCACATAAATGTTGAACAGAAGGGGTGAGAGGACCGACCCCTGTGGCACCCCACATACAAGGGGCCTCAGGGTCAAACTCTGCCCCCCGTCAACACAGACTGCGACCGGTTGGAGAAAAAGGAGGAGAACCATCGTAACACGGTGCCCCCCACCCCTAACTCTTCCAACCGGTGCAGCATGATACCATGGTCGATGGTATCAAAAGCCGCTGAGAGGTCTAATAGGACCAGGACAGAGGAGCAACCCTTGTCCCGAGACCTCCAGAGATCATCAACCAATGCGACCAATGCTGTTTCCATGCTGTATCCAGGCCTGAAGCCCGACTGGAACGGATCTAGATAAGCCGATTCATCCAGGTACTGAGGAAGCTGTCACGCTATCACACTCTCAACAACCTTCGCAACAAAGCGAAGGTTGGAGACTGGACGATAATTAGCCAACATTGCTGGGTTCAGGGAAGGCTTCTTGAGGAGAGGCCTCACCACCGCCTCCTTCAAGGCAGCGGGGAAGACACCCTCGCTCAAGGAAGCATTAATAATAGTTTAATGAAAAGAAGGACTAGGGGTGACATGATAGCAGTGCTCCAATATCTAAGGGGTTGCCACAAAGAACTTTAACTCTATTTCTAACCCAAGTAAATTTGTTTTAAAAAGACTTGTAACACAATAAAGACAAACACATTTATTAGGACAGACATATGGTTTTATGGACTGAAATCCACAATTTCAAATACATGAATCATTTTTCGGTATCATAGAGTTAAAGGTCATTATGAAGTTCAGAAGGAAATGTAGAAAATGTGAGGTGACAAAAAAAGGGGACACTTAGTGATTATATTATTACCAGTGGCTTTTGCCATTATCCATTTCAGAAAACTAAAATATAGTTGAATGTAAAGTGATTCCAAGATTGCTATTTTGTACCAGCAACTCAAGGCAAATTCTTACACTTTCCCCATGAAATATAGTGTTGCTTACAACTTGTTACCATGTTGTGTGTAGCTACATCTTGGGTATTGGTATGGATTGTAGGTAGAAAGCTAGATATTTGTGCTTAAGGGAGGTGGGTTAAAAATAAACAAACATATTGACCTCGCAACAAGGATTTGGTAAAAAATCCTTCATGTTAAGAGGATGAATAATATAAGACTCAGGACGTTATTTTCAATGGGTTGTGTTGTGTATATGGCGTTTCGGTCAGCAATCATGTTTTTAGAAAGCAGAAATTTGAAAGGGGTTCTGAATTACCCTGAATATTTGTTCTGTCCTTGGATCCTCCTGTGACTTGTTAAACTAATATCTGATATTATTTATTTGCCTATGTAATTTGATCTTCAAAGTTAAGTCAAAGTCACCTGGACACCTGATTACTTTACAAATTAGGCATGGTATTTATATGAAGATGTAATTATCTATTCTTGTGTTAGATGACCCCCCCCCCTTCTTTGATTTACTTGTAAAGCATAAAGATAAATAAGTTACTTGCTCAAATATACCATGGAACTATAGGAGATTGGAGCATTTAATTCCAAGAAAAGGACTACATTCTGGGCTATAACTATAGCCATAGATTTTTTAAAAACACACAGATTTTTGTAGTAATATAACCAAAGCACTATTAGAACACAAGAAGTACAAAAACTCTGAACAAAGCCAAAAGCCAACCTAGTTCAGCGTTTTGTTTCCACAAGCCTTACTACAGCCCACCAGCAAGATCAATGCCAATTGCATAGTCCCAATTGTGTTCCTAACACGTGATACTAAGAGATATAAGGTAAGATATTGAAGGTAAGGCAGGGTCCTAATGTAGGGCTCCTGTAATAGTCCCAATGTAGCAAGAAAACCCTTCGCAAAGAAAATGGATATTCCACCTCAAGAAGTCTGTAATCTAATAGCCATATTCTGACCTTGGAGGTCATCTAGTCCAACCCCCTGCTCACACAGGAGACCTGTACTAGGGATTCAAACTGCCGAACTCCCGACCTTTCTGAGTGTCTTAGCCACTGAGCCACCTAGTCAGGCTCAGTCATATTCCCATCCTCTCTCTTGAATAAGAAGTGGTTCACACATTGTTGTGGATGGACTTTAAACCAGTCATCAATTAATGGACTTCCCCAGTTGGTGAAATCATTTTAAAGCTGTCATTGGTAATGCTGGGATTATTTTTATTCCATTTTTCCTTTCAGTTCCTTCTTCTTCGCCTGGTGTCCTCATTAAGTGCTATTGGCATAATACAGTATATAACCTTAACATTTATGCATTTATTAATTCCCTTTTAAAGCTGTCCAGCTGGAAAGCTGAATGATATTATTAGAGAGTTATGCATTATATGAAAAAAGATTTCTTTTCAGCTGCCCTGAATTTCCCATCCTTGAGTTATAGCTTTTTAAAAACAAAAGGAAAAAAAACCAGTTTTTCTAGTCATTGTCCATATGTTTTATGTTTTGATCGTTTAGACTATCAGCAAGAAAAGCAGGGAAATCTCCTCCAGGATTCTGGGCTAAGTCTAAGAGTTCAGGTTGGCAGACTTTCTAGAACAGTGATCTGTTTTCCAAGTTAAATAGAACGCGTCCCAAATCTTTTTAAAAATCAAGCGAAGCCCAAAAAGCAGAGCAAGGAGACATGTAGAAATGAGAGACATGTGAAGCAATACCCTGCAGAATAACTTTGCATAGTCAACATCATTAATGGCAAACACAGATACAGTACAACTCTCAAAAATGACCCGTAACTGGGGATCTCTTAGGTTTTAAAATAGGACAGACTAATTTGGAAATAGATGGGTAATCAAGAAGAGAGACAAGTTAAAAGAGCTCCATGGCTACCACTGGATCAGTTCAGGAAATTAGAGCCCAATGCATGTAACAACCATCGAATTGTGCTAGCTGAGGAATAAAGTGTTTTGGAGAACAGTTATCTGAATGGCATATCCTCTTGATAGTAGTACACAAGGAATCTGCAGGATTTTTGTTTTAAAGATGAAGGGGGGAAAAAACCCTAGGGAATATGATAAATACATGAGAAAAAAAGCAGGTATGAAGAGCTTGGTGATAACTGGGTAATATAAAGAGAGGATGACGATGGGAGATAAAAATAACTTTTTCCCAGAAGGTGTGTCCTTTGCCATCTGATGGCTGGTATTTTGCTCTCCTAGGGAAG